AATTTTTGCTTTTTCTTTCGCGTCTTTGAAAATATAATTCTGGGCTAATTTTTTAAGACTTTGTTTTAGTTGAGAACAATTTCAGTTAAGAATTTTAAGGGAACGTTATAAAACAAATAAACTTATTTTTAAAAAATAGAACGATTATCACACCATTTTAAAATTATGGACAGTAGTTAACATCGTGACATTTGACGATTCATGATAACAATATAGATTCATTTCCCTATCCATCAATATCACAATAGTATTTGTTTTTTTCATTTTTGTTTAATCTATGTTTAAGCATATAAAATAAAAAACCTAGATTCATACCTTTCCATCCTTATTTCCCTCCTGCGATTTCAACAAATTTTCGTGAAGACCTATCTTCTTGAAGCAATACAAACAATGTACATCATTTTCCAACTCGACTCACCTCCTACATTTTTCAACATTCATATATTCTGAACGATGTGAATGCTTTGTGGTATGACTCACCTCCTTTCTTCGCATCCTCTAAAGCAAAGCAAACCATTTCCAACACTTTATTGCTAGACTAACCTTCTTCAAACAATGGGAAGGTTTTCGAGAGAGTATGTAATTTGTAGAGTTTAGCCTTCCATGGCATGGTTCTATGAGTTTAGCATTTCTAACTAGGCAATTTCTATACAAATTTTAACATAAAAATAGTTTAAGTTGTTCGAAAAAAAGGTGAACTTGTGAATTATAATAAAACTTAAATCTAATCAAGAAGGTTGAAGCCCAAATAAATGTTTTAAGTTTCACCCCTGAACTTTTAAAATTGTTTTAAATAGTTAGGCTTTAGAAATTGTCTAATAAATTTATAAATTTTCAATGATACATCTAATATGTAATTGAACTTAAAGGGTTCAATATATCTCCATAACTTTCAATTTTTTATTTAATAGATTTTTAAATTTTTAATTTAATGCATAATAGATCCTTGACCAATGTGATACCTTTAAAGATTTAAAGTAATTGAAAATTCAATACTATGCATTTTTAAATTTAAAAGAAGAACATTAAAGTTATTATGGTCTATTAGACAATATTATATTGTAACTTTATAACATATACATAGTTTAGCGTTAAGCTGTCTTGTTATTCTCTAAAGCCTGGAGGTTTAACCTCCCATCCCAATATCTAATATGCTTAAAAAAGAAAAAAAAATATATGGTAACTCATTAATCACCGTAATATTTCCATTACCGGACCTACCTTAGGCTCACACGAGACTTTACTCAAACTTCTTTTATCTTTACAACTTGACATCAGATTGACAAAAGTTATAATTTATTAAAGTTATTATGGTTTATTAGGTAATATAATATTATAACTCGCAAACATATACTTAGTTTAAGGTTTAAGCTATCTTGTTATTTTCTAGGAGCAGGAGATTGAATCTCTCATCCCAATATCTATTATACTTGAAAAAGGAACAAAATTACTATAACTCATGGATACAATTCAGACTCACACAAGACCTTACTCAAGCTTCTTTCATCTTCGAAGCTCGACATCAAATTGATAAAAATTAAAAGCAAAACAAATTTAGGCTCACACCACACGAGACTTTACTCGAGCTTCATTTTCGAAGGTCGACATCAAACCAAGTTAAAAACCAAAAATTCCTTCGAATCTTATTTGAAAAAAGTGGTGGTCAGATCCAGGCTACTCCACCGAGTCCTGTTAGGGGAATCCAACATACACGGCCCGTCGACTTTACCAAGCAAGCAGTGGGAGGAGTTGACTGTACACTTTTTAGAAGGCCCGGAAGCCGTCGTGGGCCTTGATCCACATTCTACGCGGCGCGTTTGTAGTAAGCCAAAGAGGCTGTTGTAGTGGGCCTTGATCTTGCATTCGTCCTCCAGTTTAGTAACCCAAGGGCCGTGAGAGTCCCCTTCGTCCAAGCCCATGGGCTAACTACTTGCTTGACAGAAGCGGGCCAGTTGGATTCAACCCAAGTAGAGTAGGAACTCCATCCCATCACTTTAATGCCCCCAACTCGGGTCACAAGCTTGCGCTACCAAGCCCGGCGACAGATTTTGCCACAGATTCTATAATAAAGCAGACCAAAAATTTTGACTGTTTCCGATATGGGATAGGCATTAGAGAATTTTTACTATAATTTGTCAATTTAATTAAACTATTATTTTTCATCTTTGATCATGATAGCTTATTAATCTAGATAGTGTATGAAATAACTATAGTACTCATCAATTAATATGTATTCTAAGTTTTACAAATTTACAATTCCTTTCTTTTTTTTTAATTTGAATTATAATTTTTGTTACTTTTTTTTGGGCACTTTTAACACCACTACTACAACATCTCACGTTTTTCACACTCTCGTGAAATTGGTATAATAAACTCTCACTTCAAGAGATTCAACTTTTATTTATTTATTTTGTTCTTGTAATGCATCCAAGTGTATTTTTTAGTTTAACAACATATAGGTTGAAGACTCAAATCTTCAACTTCTTGGTGGATCATATATATGTCTTATCTAGTAAAAGATGGTTAGGTTGACTCTTAATAAACTATGTTTAATATACATTGATGGGAAATTTAATAATTTCTAATTCTTTTTGAGGTAAAAAAGTCTAAAAGAATAGGTTCGAACAAAATATAAATATGCCAAAACATTACCATGTCTTCCACTGAAAATTTTAGAGACTTGTAAAATACTTTTTGCGATAAACCTTGAGTTAGAACCTGAAATTTATTTCATATTTAGTAATATGATCTTAGCATAAGTTAAAATGTGAATCTAATTGAGGCTACTAGGTTGATTGTTATCCTTAATAACTTTGTCTTTAAGGGAGAAAAAAAAGACCTACAAACTTTTTAGCTTATTACTTTTGAGTAGATGAATATTCTAACTTTGATGGGAGATATTATATTTGGGTGGGGAATCTCATGAATGGCTGAGTCACCCAACCCCCCACCATCTTCTACCATTACTTAAATTCTTGAAACTAAGCATTTTCTGACTTTAGTGCATCAAAGTAATCAAAATCATTCAGTTTCTGATGAATGACACAATAAAAACACAAGACAGCAAAAATCAATGTAAAGTATATAATTAAATCATTTTGTGAAATATGCAATAACATTATTGGATTTGATCCCTTCTGAAAGTCGTACTAGATTCCCTTGTTTCAAATTTTGTCTCTAATTCTGTTTCCTTTATGAAATCTAATCCTGAATGTGTCTGCCACACTCGCACAAAATGTTTACAATCTTATTATTGAAATTACATTTTCCCTGGAATTTAATAAACTTTATGAGGAAAGCAAAATGCAGATGCTTAAAACTTTGAAATATGAAGTAAAAAAGATATTTAAAACATTGTACTTGTGTATCTGAGATGTGCAGTGTACTCGATGTTTGGCCCATCATCTACCAATTAACAATCCAAAAGATTATTTATTATAGATATTATCGTTTGAAGTGCATTGCCACTGAAAAATACAACCTTTTGTTTTGTGTTGCTTTCATTACTGCCTTTTCAGATCCATAAATTTTGTGGTGCCAAATGCCAATTTAAATAGCCACGAGGAATGTGGGAGCGAGAGAGACAGATGACCCTACTTCAGCCCCAAACCCAAACGAGTACAAATTTTTACTGCATTTAATACACAATCTTACTATTA